TACAGCTGCCACCTCACTCTCCTGGAGTATCTGGTAAACACCTCTTTCCCTGACAAGTACAGCGCGAATGTGTTTTGTCACCTTGTGCCATGTCGGAGATTAGGAGGTGAGTCCTCTAGATTAATGTTGAAAAATAAATCTGTTGTCAGATTGCCTTTCTGTTGCGACTCCATAACGCCCAGGCAGCCTGAGAACAGTACATATTACTACACCCTGGTGGTAACTAAAACTACCCAACAGACCCGCTGTGACGAGTTTCCTCTTCTCTCTCATTTGATACCCACCTTGTGTTTTTACCTTGGGCTGTTTTTTGCCTACCAGCTTTGAAATTATCTGCATTTTAACCACTGTGGTCTGCTGGGGACGTGAGATCGGAGACATGTGGGGAGTTAGGCCATGCTGAGAGGAGGGGGGAGAGTTTCACAAAGACAATGAGTGAGGCTGTATCTGTGTAGCCTTGACACTGGACTGTGACCACTGCAGTCACCTGGCTCTCTCTGCCCTGCTGCGGCCTTGGCTGTGCTTGTGAACTCCCTCTCCTTCGTGAGGCAACAGATGTACCCGACAGGTCAGTCACACTAGTCAAACAGCTAGGTTATGACAGAGTGACGCACAACTGGTATAATGCCCGAGAGGGGCACTCAGTGTGTCTCACTGTAGGCACTGGGGTTAAGTATCAGCTGTTACAGCTCTTCGGCCACAGTAGGACAGCAGGACATCTCGCCAGAATCCGCCAAGACATTCTCAGTGTGTTTAAATACACAGTGCAAACACAGTCGTAGGCTTTGGGCAGGGAACGCTGTCATTTGAGAAGGTTCCCGGATGGGAGTTTGATTCTGTGCTCCTCTCTCTCGGAGCTGGCCGGAGCAGTAGCAGCAGTGGCGGTGGTCTGGCAGGGGCGGGGGGGTTGGTCAGCGTCCAGTCCTGCGTCCAGTTTTAAGCTCCATGAAGAGCTGCAGCCAGCAGCCACTGCGACTTGGACACACCCGCCGGGCCAGGCGCGGGTGTGCTTCTGTGCCAGAGTATCTGGGTGCAGAAAAAAGCCCCAAGCAAGCGAAAGCAAAGATCGGCGCCCTGAAGGGGTTGCCATCCTCTCCTCTCTCTGTGCTCGGTGAGGCCTCCGCAAAGGCGGCGTGTCCCAGTTCGAGCCAGACCTGTGGAAGCAGCAGGTGGTCAGTGGTCGGCACTGCAGTCCAGAAGCCCTTGGGCCCTGGCTTCAATTCCTGAGGTGCTATCTGCGTGGGGTTTGTATGTTCTCCCCTTGATTCCCCTGGGTGCTCTGGTTTCCTCCCGTTGTCCAAAGGCACACTGGTAAGTGAACTGGCCCCGGTGTGTGTGCTCTGTGATG